CTACTTTAAGCTCTAGCTACCAAGTACCAGCCAACTTTCAAATTTCTCCTGGAAAACTTTTCTGCTGTGCGAACATGTTTTGACTCTTATACCTCCATGCCTTATTTTTATTAAAAAATAAAAGGACAAAACATTTGAAGTACTTTGATAGAAGATAATCTCTTTGAAAGTGGAACCCCTGCTTTACACAAGCTTAGCTCAGTGTCTTGCAATCTGACAGACCATTACGAATTTGCTGACTGTTTCTATTCTTATACAGCAGGCATGCAATAAGTACATATTTATTCAAATGAATATTCAACAGGATAAGCACCAAAGTGGGTAAGCATACTTTTAAGCCATAAGGTCAGCTATTCAAATTTACCACCATTAACCTGGGTAATATTCAACACCAAGTAGATAACATTCTCTTTTTGGCCTTTCTTCTGAGTCTGAGTCCTTCAACGTAATTTACCAAAAGTGCACCACTCTGTGGAAGAGTAAATCTTTGAGCATCTTATCCAGAAAATCCAGAACTTTATTTCCCATCTGCAGCATTATTAAATTTCACTAAACTTGACTAGTCCACCTGCTTTAGAGGAGAGAAAATTTGGGTGCTGATTAAGAGACTCTTTCTATGAAGAAGAGTAAATGGCACTGGTGGAACAGGCAGAGTTCTGTGCGTGCAAAGACATTTCTTTAGAAACAGTCTATTAACTGCTGCTTTCGTAGCCTAGGGAACCTTATGGGACTGTGTGAGTTTATTTTTTTAGAAGACAGCGTAGTTCTGTCAGGAAACTTAATACCTAGGGAAAAGGGGGAAACTCAAGGCACCTTGTAAAGATCTTACAGCTAGTCTTGAACATCCTAGTTATTATTAGTATTTATTTACTTTTGAGAGAGTTTCTTTTGAGGAGGAGAGGTTTTTGCTATAGGGTGCGTGCGCTCGCCAGAAAGACAGAGACAGAGAGACAGAAAGCAAAAAATCACCTCCCACAGAGGATGGGCCATGCTGCAATCCCTTTTCCTCCAATCTCCTCTTGGGATCTTGGGCATGCATGAACATGTGCCCAGCGTGAGTTTAAGCCAATGGGTCTGGGACTCGAACTGCAGTCAACTACATGGGAATCCAGCTACATAGCTATCACACCAAGTGCTGGTCCCGAGAGAAAGATTTTTGCAATAAGGCACGTGTGCTCACCAGAGAGGCAAAAGGACAGATAGAAAGTGACAAGTCAACACCCAAGATGGTCATGCGCAATCCCTTCTTCTCTGTTCTCCTCTCAGGATCTTGAGCATGCACACACATGTGCCCGGCCTGAGTTTCAAGCTGCCAGGTCTGTGGAAACTTGGTCAGCCATGTGGGAGTCCCACTGGACTCCCACATAGTCACCTGCTGGTCCCCTAGTTATTATTTTCAAGAGTGCTAATAAAAATAAATGAGCAGAAAAAAACTCTATAGACTCTTTGGTGGTTTAAAGTTACTTTTGAAGCCAGGTATTTTTAAAAATAAAACCATCAAGTGTTAGAAAGAACTAATAGCAGCTTTAATCTACGGCTATTTTTTTTTTCTTGGTTAACCTCAAAATTGCCAAGAGAAAAATGATTCTAAAAGCTATCAGAAGCTATCTTATCTGTGATCAATTTAATACTGAAAATTGCTACCAGGAGTACTTTCATACTAGATGAAAAACAGAAGAAACCAGAGTAATCAATAATGTGCCTCTCAATGTTAGTATGGTGCAATTCTATTATTCCTTCAGTGTAAAGATTGGAACTAAATCCTATGGAGAAGAAAATTTAGTTAGACATTATTTTTACTTTCAGAATGCATTATTATGCCAGTCGTATGAACTCTTGGATATATATTAACAGGGATAGATTATTAATCTATCTGGAGTTGCACAGATATGACAATGGAATAATGACCTTATAGTGTGCATACTCGTGGTGAAATGATTCAATTACTTTTATTTGGTGGTATTCTTTTAAAAAAAGGCAGGGGGGTGGAGAACAGCAGATGGCATAATGGTTATGTCACTGGACTCCCACATAGTCTACTACAATTGGAGTCCCGGACCCAGTGGCTTAACAACTCATGCTGGGTGTGTGTGCGTGCATGCCCAAAATCCCACGAGAATGGAGCAGAAGGGATTGTGTAGTGGCCATCTCCCTAAGGGGTGATTTCTTGCTTTCTGTCTCTCTGTCTCTCTGATCCATGCACCCTATAGTAAAAATCTCTCTCTCAAAAAAAAGACATTTCCGTCCTCTTCCCCCACAACACAATCTATATTAAACACAAACACATGTGACAAAGCTTGGGGCTGAACTACCTGATAGCCACATCTACATAGGCTGTGTTTTAATTTCTTTCTCCACACATTTGTAAAATGTGATTACTTCAAGAAAAATTAAATTAATGATTTAATTAAGGTAATTACTTGAACAGTAATAAAGCATAATTAAAATAAAATAAATGGAACAGAGGATTAAAGCCAGGAAGGATATTTATGCCATCATTTATGGTTTTATTTTTAAACTACTCTAAAAATAGGTCTATATTAGACCAGTTTGTCATTCTGTCATTATCCTGACAGTCTGGATATAAATGTTTTGTTTCAGGGACAATTTAATTCTTAACTGAATTTCATGTGTTATACATATTTTTAAACTATAAAGCATTAAGTTAAAATTTATTAAAATGTGTTCCCATAAGAATTTAAATATTTTATTCATGACTGAAATTGATCTGTGGGAAAAAATTAATTTGCCTTTGTAACTTTAATTTTTAAAGAATTCACTTTTATGATACTGTATCTGAAATTTCTATGTAAAAGGCACAAAGTTTGCTTTTCTTTTGTCCCAACTGCTATGTTACTTCGTTTTTTTTTGCAATCATTTTCTTAGGAGAATCAGCTGAATCAAATAGGAACTTTAAGTACAAAGGTTAAGTGGGGACTTTAAAAAGTTCAAAGTTCATGGAAAATGGAATTACAGCACTAGTTTATTTTGTTGCAAAACATTTTTGAAATCTGTACGAAGCTTTTTAATTACATGCATCTCCATGAGCTATGTGAAGATCCCTCATATTTTATTCAAATGTTGAGAGGTGACAATTTAACATACCTTATCAAACAAAACGAAAGTCACTGTCCTGAGTACTATTCATGATACAAATAGGAGAAGACATACACTTAGGGGGCTACGGACTAGAAGTATAGAAAAGCTAAGTGTACAAATTAGCATAATGGAAAGTGAAATAAATGGTCACTGTACCTGGAAGGCTCCTTCCTGTTCCCGCCACTCCCTTCCTTGTTTCCTCTTGCTCCATACCTCCTCTTGTGCTTCTTACTCTATTGTAATTTTTTTTTTTTTTAGTTTTCCTGCCTATTAATTCCTATTTCTCTAGAACTTAATATATTCATTTGATAAGTTTTCATTGAATGGAATGTATTGTAATTTTTAAAAAGAGTTATTTATTTAATTTTATTTATTATGATGTTCATTTCTGTCAAATTTTCTATAGGACACATCCAGAGAGAGACAGAGAGAAGTAAAGTGTGAGAGCAAGCCACCAGGTCCAGGACTTGAACCATGGTTGTTGGAATCCAGTATCTTAACCACCACATCACCTGCTGACCTCCAAATGTCTTTTAATTTTATCTAAATTAAAAGTGGTATAAATAAAGTGATGTGAGTGCTTCAGTGAAGGAGCTCTTACATCTGGCTGAACAAATAAACAAAGGCTTTGAGCATTTCTGTTTAAGATGGACTTGGAATAATGGGTAGCATTTTAAAAGTTGGAGTGAGGAGCTATTTGAGGCAGAAGGAATAATAAGAAACAATCAGGGACCAGCAGATATCATAATGGTTGTGTCATTGGACCCCCCACATAGTTGACCTTGATTTCAGTCCCTGACCTGGTGGCTTAAAACTCATACTGGGTGTGTGTGCATGTGTGCCCAAAACCCCTAAGAGGAGACTGGAGGAGAAGGGATTGTGGTATGGCCATTCCCCCAAGGGGTGATTTCTCGCTTTCTGTTTTCTGTCTCTCTGACAAACTCATTTGCCCTAAAGCAAAAAAATCTCTCTCTAAACAAACGAACAAAAAAAGAAAAAAAAAAAAGCAAAAAAAGGAAATAATCAAAAGAAAAGAGCTTATTTGCAGAATATCTCATAAAATTTGATAATTTTTTAATATTTAGAAATATGTTATACTAATATAGAAAATTACCACTCAGAATATTTAGGGTTTAATTTTTCTACCTTAAGTTTTTAAATAAAATTTAAATCTTCTCCTTGGCTAGAGATGAGGGACTTGTGGAATATGAATGACATTTATCATTTTTGAAGAAATCATAGTAACATTTATCCTTAGATCCTATACACAGTACTTGGTATAGATTGCCTCTTTCAGTGATACCTACAGAAGAGGAAACTGAAGATTGGCAAGATGATAACTGCCACACTTAGATACCTAGTAAAGCTATAAGTCAATGTTCTAATCCAGCTTCTCCTGACAGAACTCTTTTTCTCTTTAACTCTTACGCTGTGACTGGGTTCATTGCTGTCTAAGAACAGAAACTAGAGTCGCATTTGAGAACTTTACAAGAACTAGAGAAGGCTAGAGGACCTGGAACTTAAGGAAGTCAAGTCAATTTTGAGAAATAAAGTGCTATGGGATTTTTCAGGTAATGTAGAAAGGTCCAGAACAAAAGCTGTAATACAAATGCACTAAACTCAGAACCCTTTAAAAGAAGAGAAACCAAACAGTTTGAATAACATTTCTGAATATGATAAGTATGCCCTGATCAAAGAGGCACACATTTGGGAACAGTGGACTAGATTTGACAAGAGCAAGAATGGGCTTGCTTCTTGGTGAGAACGGTTTTCACTTCACTTATGAAGGGGCAGGTCCTCGCATTGTGGCCACAGCTTTTCTTTAATAACTATGAAAGAAGAACAATACAGCCCATCCAAAGCTGGTTTTAACCTGTATTTTATAAACCTTTCTCTTCCAGGAAATATATTTGTGGTGAGCCTAGCCGTTGCAGACCTGTTGGTGGCCGTTTACCCATACCCTTTGGTGCTGATGTCTATATTTAACAATGGATGGAACCTGGGATCTCTGCACTGCCAAATTAGTGGTTTCCTGATGGGCCTGAGTGTCTTTGGCTCCATATTCAACATCGCTGGGATTGCCATTAACCGCTACTGCTACATCTGCCACAGCCTCAAGTATGAGCAGCTGTACAGTAACAAGAATTCCCTCTGCTACGTGCTTCTGATATGGATGTTGACACTTGTGGCCATTGTGCCCAACTTGCAGACTGGCACACTCCAGTATGACCCAAGGATCTATTCATGTACCTTTGCACAGTCTATCAGCTCGGCCTACACGATAGTGGTGGTGGTTTTCCATTTCATACTTCCTATGGTCATCGTCATCTTCTGTTACCTACGAATATGGATCCTGTTCCTTCAGGTCAGGCGAAGAGTGAAACCTGACAGCGAACCCAAACTGAAACCACAGGACTTCAGGAATTTCATCACCATGTTTGTGGTTTTTGTCATTTTTGCCATCTGCTGGGCTCCTCTAAACTTCATTGGCCTGGCTGTGGCCTCAGATCCTGTCAACATGGTACCCAGGATCCCAGAGTGGCTGTTTGTGGCTAGTTACTACATGGCGTATTTCAACAGCTGCCTCAATGCAATCATATATGGGATACTGAACCAAAACTTCAGAAAGGAATATAGAAGAATTATAGTGTCACTGTGTACATCCAAGATGTTCTTTGTAGATAGCTCTAATAATGTAGCAGATAGGGTTAAATGCAAACCCTCCCCATTAGTGACCAACAATAATCTAATAAAGGTGGACTCCGTTTAAAACAAGCAAAACATTACTGAAAAGATAATGCACACAATGCTCAAGATCCCATTCCTTTTTGTGTTTGCTTTCCTCATAGGTGTATGAAAAAACAGAGTGGTTAAGGAAATTTCAGACTCTTAAGAGGTTCTCTCAGTAGTATCTGAGCTAATGCACTATCAGTTTTGTGAACAAGTCTTTAATTCTACTTAGAGATCAATTGAAGAATATGTTTCAGGCACAAGAGTTGAAGTAAAATGCTGTGTGCGTTCAAGTGGAGAAAGACTGTGCAAATTTTTATTGTAAATGACTGCCACAAAGGTGGTAAGTGCTCCCCAACCTTTACTTTCTAAATTATTTCTAATAGGAGAAGAAATAGAGTATTTATTGTTAAATGAGCAAATAGAACAAAAAAGGGAAAGTGAAATGACTGACTCTTCTTACAGAAAGGCTGAAAATACATCTCTCTCTCTCTCTCTCTCTCTATCTAAATATATATATATATATATATTTTTTTTTTTCCGAGAGGTTTTGCTATAAGGCACGTGTGCTCCCAGAAAGACAGAGAGAGACAGAGAGACAGAAAGGGAGAAATCAATTCCCACGGGGGATGGCCACACTGCAATCCCTTTTCCTCCATTCTCTTCTCGGGATCTTGGGCATGCACACGCACACGCCTCAGCATGAATTTAAGCCACCGGGTCCGGGACTCGAACTGCAGTTGACTACATGGGAGTCCAGCAACGTAATTATGCCATCCATCGACTGGTCCCTGAAAATACATATTTGAACCACAGCCCCCACTGCAAACTTGTCTTGGTGGTATTATCATTGAGTAGCATTGAGTAGTCATAATCATAAGTGAGTCCCACTCTGTATTATAAGTTATTCAACAAGATAAGAACTAACAGTAGGCCCAGACTCAGTGGTGCAATGGTAGTATAATGCTCTACAATGCTGAAAGCCCATTTGGAAAACTGACATTCAGTTTCCAGGTCAACTTTGTACCTACCATGTGCACACACACATGCCGGTGAGCCTGGCTGGATGAAAAGGCTATTGACAGGAATTGTGCTTTGAGACCCTGGTGAGGATGTTTCTCTCTCTCTGTGTGTCTAATGAAAGCAATAAATAAAGGTTAAAAAAATTTTTTTTAAAAAAAGACCTAACTAGATGACAAAATTCTTATTCAGGTGTCAATTACTATGGGATTTTAAGGCAATAGCTATGTATAAAATATGATTCAACTCTATTAAACATTTGACATATGATTGTTTTGTGTCACTTAGCAGTTTTTCTGAATTGATCTCTAAGTAATTACATTGTCTAATTGGTTCGAAGAAAAATGACAAAGGGTCTGGTCCTGTAACTTAGTAGTTGAAGGAGCCAAATCCCGTAAGGCTGGCTGTGGTTCAAATCCTGGCTTTGGGAGCTTGAAAAATATGCCAGGTGCATGAGCGTGTGGATCTCAAATCCTGACAAGATGCATATATGGAGGAGAAGGAATTATGGCATGATCGTGCTTCATTATGGTGTGAGTGTGTGGGTGCTTTCTCCTTTTTCCTCTTTCTATTTCTCTCTGGTGAGCCCACATGCCCACTGGAAATTAAACAAAAAGACAAATGATCTGTATACATTTAGATATAGTATTGACTATGCATGAGAGAGAATTTTGCTATAGGGCAAGTGTGCTTGTGGGTGAAACAAAGAAGGATAGAGAGACAGAAAGCAAGAAATTGTCCCCCAGGGGTATGGTCATGCCACAGTCCCTTCTCCATTCTCCTCTCAGGGATTTTGGCATGCATGCCCACAAACCTGGTGTGAGTGTAAGCTGCTGGGTCCGGGACTTGTGGCATGTGGGAGTCCTGCAATGTGACCATTTTGGCATCTGCTGGTCCCTTGACTGTGTATTAGATTGGCAATAAAAGCTAGATGGTTATTCTTTTATAGATAGTTCAAAACAATATTCTTTAATAATTCATTTCAGTATTTGATTGCCTCAATAATACTGAAAGTCTATGAGAAGAAAAAAAAATGCATGGAGCAACTATGGTTTTAAACGTTTTTAACTGTAGTTTACCCCAAATGGCTATTTGAGGCTATTTGAGGTTAGTTTTTATTTGCTTGTTTGTTTTGTTTTTAATTTGTTTGTTTGTTTGTTTTGTTTGTTTGGTATAGGGTGCACACAGTCACAGGAGAGAGACAGAGAGGGGAGAGAGAGAGAGGGAGAAAGTGAAAAAATACTCCACAGGAAGGATGACCACACTCCAATCCCTTCTCTTCCATTCTCTCCTTGGGATTTTGGGCATGCACACACACAGGCTCAGCATGTTTTTTCAGCCTCTGGGTCTGGGACTCAAATAGCATAGTCAGCCATATGGGACCCAGCCACCTTAACTACCATGCCACCTGACTGCCCCTCATTAGGTTTAATATAGATTGCTTTGCTGCAAATTACAATCATGTTTTCTTGTATTTTAAAGTCTGTAATGTCACAAACTAGAACAAGTTAGTGATTTGTGACTATGTAATAAGACAAAACATTACCTGTATATATTTGCAAATATATGTATATCTAGAGAATCAGAATCTCTTCAGGAAGTTATAAGGATTAATTATTTTACAAAGCTCCTTCAATGATTCTTTTTATCAAGTGACTTGGGAAACATCAAATTTTTGAAATACCAAATTATGATTGCTTTTACAGTGTGTATGTTAGGGGTGGGGATGCGTAAATTATCTCCAGAACCATCTATCAAATTATTTATGTGTAAAAGTTCTAGTCCTTAACAGAATCAAATTTACATGGTAGAAATAATATTGAAGCTAGTGTTCCAAATTTCAAATAACTGAAACTTAAAAAACTTAACCATGGGCCAGATAGTGACATGGTTGCTAAGATGGCTTGATCCCATATAACTGTGTGGTGTGAGTCCTAGACTGAGTTACTTGAACACGCACACTTACCTGCCCAAAATCCCAAGAGGAAAAGAAGAAGGGATTGAGACAGTCATTCCCGCTGAGGGATGCTTTCTCATTTCCTGTCCCTCTCGCTCTCTCTTTTACGAGTGTATGTGCCCTATAGCAAACTAAAAAGGAAAAAATTAACCATGTTCAACTGAACTGTTTGTAAAATGTATTACAGTCTTTTTTTTTTTTTTTTCTTAGGTTTGGGATGAACTACTGTGTTGCTAACTATGTTATGATTCCTTTGTTCTTTATACCACTTTATTTGAACTTTGCCAGAGGTGTATGAGTTCACCAGAGCGAGATGGAGAAAGCACTCTCCAATGGAGTATACTCGTGCTGCAATTCCTTCTCCCCCATTTCTCTGTCCTGTTGGGATTTGGGTCACACACATGCACTCAGCGTATTTTTCAAGCCACCAGGGCTGGCATTCAAAGTGTAGTTGGCCATGTTGGATTTGGCTTCTCCCAACCCCAATCATCTAGCCATGGGCCCAGCCCTTATTATTATATTTTTCATTTTTATTTATCTATTTCTTTTTTTAAGAAGATTTTTGCTATAGAGTGTGTGCACTCGCATGTGAGAGAGAACTCAAGAAAACACCCCTCAGGGGGAATGGCCACACCGCAATCCCTTCTCCTCCATTCTCCCCCTGAGATTTTGGGCATGCATGCACATGAACGTATCATTTCAAAACTTTGGGTCTGATATGGTCAGCCATGTGGGAGTCCAGTGCCTTCATTACTATGCCATTTGTTGGCCCCTTATTTGTCTATGTCTTCTTGGTCATGAGAGAGAGAGAGAGAGAGAGAGAGAGAGAGACAGACAGACAGACAGATAGGAACCTTGACAGTGTCCTGTCACATCATGATACACCTCAGCATCTAGCAGCCAGGATCATGAATGTGCCTGTGGGTACACCATGCAAGTTTCTGGTCAACCCAGGATCTGAACGTCAGTGTTCCATGTGGCTCCAGCACTGCAGGACAGCATCCTACTGCCTGTGCCACTGCAGCTGGGCCTATAATTTTATTTCTTGATTTATAAATTGTATGTTGTTTGAGTTGGACATCAGCACAAGTGCGGTATAGAAACTGACCTATCACAAATTGTCAAGTAAAGAGTATCTCATCTGAAAATCATATATGTAACTTTAAAATCTTGAAATGTTTTTTCACCATCATTGGAAACTAGCTAATGAAAATGCTGTCAAAGTGAAGCTACTCAAAAAGATCAAAGTAAAAGACCCAGATTTCTTCCACTAGAATCTGACTATAGAAGACTTGTAAACATCAAGGTATTATATCTGGTCTTGTCCCTGTGATATTAAGTAGAGAATCTTTAGCTCTGTATGATTTTTTTTTTCTCGTGAAAACACAGACATATAATCAATTTTGCCTGATTATTTTCAGTGTACAAGTTGTGTAGTCTGTTTGGAAGATGAACTCTACAAGAGCACTAAATTTATCAAGTGACTATTGCATAGTACAAATTGGTACCTGGGTAGTATTGCTGGAGATGTGCTCCTTATTTAAGGAAGCAAACTTTTTTTCTTTCTTTCTTTTCTTTTCTTTTTTTTTTGGAGAGGTTTTCGCTATAGGGCGCGTGCACTCGCCAGACAGAGACATAGAGACAGAAAGCGAGAAATCACCCCCCAGGGGGGATGGTCACGCCGCAATCCCTTCTCCTCCATTCTCATCTTGGGGTCTTGGGCACGCACGCACACGTGCCCGGCGTGTTTTAAGCCACCGGGTCCGGGACGCGAACCGCAGTCGACTATGTGGGAGTCCAGCGGCATAGCCATTATGCTAACTGCTGGTTCCCTTTTTTTTTCTTTTTTTTTAATAAAATCTAAGTTGTGTTTATCAACTACAAACTTCTGTTAAGGCAGATCTCTTTCTTCTCTCAGAGTCACTTACTTAGCATTTGAATCACTTTTGCCAGTCTTCCTCTATCAGAGCACTAGTGGTGATGTGAGGGTTGACAATGAAAAAAATCACGTATTTACAGTTTATAAAAACTATGGTCTTGTCTATAACTTGGATTTTGCTGCCCAGATTGGAGACTTTGTTTTTCTTTTGTTTCAATTTTGCTAGAGGGCATGCACACTCACCAGGGACAGAGAGAGTGAGAACGAGGGAAAGTGAGAAAGCACCTGCCATCGGGTATGATTATGCCATAATCCCTTCTCCATCTCTTTTTCTTGTCAGGGTTTTGGCATGCACGCAGCGCATACACCCAACATATTTCTCAAGCCACTGGATCTGGAACTCAAACTGCATAGTCAGTCATGTGATTTTTAGTTGTCTTAACCACCAGCTTATGGGCTGGCCCACAATCACCTTGTTTTAAAGCCCATGTATAATATACTTGCATGTTTTTACTTCTTTTTTAGCTATGCTGTACCTTGTAATTGCTAAAGATGAACTTCACTGGGATCTTTGCTTGCATATATTTGTTTTAATAAAAGTTTTACATA